GTAAAAAGCTTTGCTCAGTATCTGTGCGTTGAGCAAATCTGCAGGCCCAGAGCAAAGTGGACATTTCTAAAATCCTTCTGAGGAAGGACAAAGGGGTAAGCGCTCCCTATACATTCAAATCAGAAAGTTACTGAGCAGTGACTGTTATGAAGATGATAAATTTGTGCGTCCTCCAGAGCCTGAGCCTTCGCAGCGTGCTGTGTTATCTTGCCAGCCAATTTGGGCAGCAGGACCACGAAGCAGAGCTACCTTCTCACCTGAGCTGCCCTGGAGATGATAGTCTGATAAAAAAAGGCATAGACTCAGGGCTGTATGAATAGAAGGGGCTTCTGTGTTCGTTCCTGCTCATCAGGATGACCTTGGGACTCCGGGCAGCCTTGTTGTCCCAGCCCTGTGCACTCAGAAAGGTTCTTTAAATTACCCCTTACATCCTTACTATGGTGAAAACAGCAGAAGATCCAGTTTGGAGACCTTCTGGGGCTAGAGAAGAATTAATTGGGTTTTCTCCTTGCAAATAGTTTTACTGACCACAATTTAAGGCATAAAGCAAAGGCCAGAGCACAAAATTAGAAGATGGCTTTGCAAGCTGTTGAAGAACCCTGGCAGATACTTACATCCCATTTTCTGTAACCTACACAGAAGAAGAAATGATGATAAATGTTCCATCAGCTCTTCTGCTTACTGTATCATTTGGAAAGAGACTAATTTCCCATTTTCTTGTTATCTGTTGAGGGCTTATTGACACCGTTTGTGGCAGATGGTTCTTTGTTTTAAAATCATGAAGGAGGTTGAGTGTGCCTTATGTTGCTCTGAAAATACCAGCTGAGTGTGAGGAAGAGCAGTAACGTGAGTCACTTGGGTGCAGAATGGCTGACAATTGGGAAATTGAAAACTACTGCTACTGTTAGATAGTAATAGCTCATGCAACGTACACTAGACATCGAAGGGCACTCAAGTGGTCAGCAACATCCACCAAAATGCAAATTAGCAAATGATGACGAAAGGAAGTCAGGTAACAGACTCAAGGCTGTTCCTGGAGAGTCAGCTCTGGACTTGAACAGAACCACTGGCACCGTCAAGGAAGGGAAGCGAAAACAAATGCATTGACTTCTTATTTGTGGGTTTCATCATACCCCACTGACCAGGCCCTTGCTCGTCTCTTATTAGATAAATTATGTTTTAGTAGTGTATAATGTAATGGCAGCGTATTGGATGGACTGAGTTTTAATTTTCATCTGCGTTTTAATCACTTTGCAAGCTGGTGTTCTTTTATGCTTCAGCAAGATTTAGCGACAATGTCTTTCTGATATTAAAACCCCAATAATTTTTTAGCTCATACCAGGGAGCAGAGAAGACACGGAGGTCCCAGTCCCGCTGCTAAATTCTTAACAACTCCCGTCTGTCTCACTGTAGTTAGTTGTGTTTTGAGGGAGATCACCTCTCCACCCTTGAGAAACTGGAAACAAAGTCAAGGTCTGATGAAGCTCCTGCGAGACCCTCGACCAAACACATCCATGGTAGCATTGCAGGCTTTGGCTCCGTCCTTTCTCATTAGACCAGAGCCTTCATTCACAAAGCTGAGAATAAAACAAGCCCCATTTCGGCTAGAGCAGCGTGTCTGAACGTCTGTACGCTTGCAGCCTTCTTCACTGTAATAATCTTTGATGTCCTGATTGAAAATGAAATGAATAAATAGCTTTAGAGCAGTCTACTCCTTTGCAATAATCTTGGCATTGCTTTTTACCAAAGTAACAATGAGCCTCTTTGATAATTTATATGCCTAGAAAAGGAAAGGACCACAAATGAGGCACCTTTCCAGGTAAATATAACAGCCATGACATTTAATATCCCGTCTTTGTCATTTTCAAGTTATTTTGGTGCGTGTACAATAGAAGATGTTCATTCACTGAAAAATGAACGTGCTTGTAATAGAAAATCAATTGCTGTTAAGGCATCTCCTACAGTCATTAGCATGTGAAGCTTCATTTTCTAATTACCAAAGCTGTTCCCAAGGGGGAGAATCTTAAGCGGGTAACTGTGCTTATTTTTTGAAACAGATGGTGGCTTTTTGTGTCACAAGGTGACCGCTGATGTTAGCCATAATGACTGCCCACTTACTTAGACTGAAAAAAAAAAAAAATCTTCATCATGTTTTATGAAGTTTTCCAAGAGGTGTGCCAACCATGATGACTTGATATCACTCGATCCTGGATTAGAAAGAGGAAAGGGGGCAGAGGGGGCGAAGAAACTCTACACTTGCATGCAGAGGACAATTTCTACCTCTACAGCCAGAGCCTGGCATTAAATGTCTACCGTACGCCCACGCACGCTGGACAGAACATCGCCCCAAGCCCTGGTACTTGCTGGCTCGAGTTTGCTGCGTGCCTGCTTACGCCATTTCCATGCACCACGACAGCAGCCTCTGCGGTTGCAGGGAAGAACCCGTGTGCCGGCTCCGGCACGGCTTGTCTCTGCGGCCAGAGGCGTGAAGCCGCCTTCCAAGAAAAACTGCCCCGTCTGCTCTGGGGCAGGGTGACACCGCGAGATCACAGAACAGCCCAGTTCTGTTCTCTTCGTTTCTTGAGGTAAAATCCAGCTGCCATACAGCAATGTCCATCTTTTTTGTGATTAGACATGTGGTGTGAAAAAAATATTGATCCCTGTTTTCTTACAGACTTGTTTGAGCAAGGAATTTAGCTTGCATAGTTTTGGAGCGGGTATTTTTTTTTTTTTAATAACTGCATATGATGTTGCTGGGGTTTTATTTTTTTATGGCTAAAAGGAGGTCAATC